AATCTCTGGTCCAGAATTACCCAGACTACAAGTTTTCAGCTTCCTGGGACTTCCCTTCTAGGAGATATTGACCTCCAAAAACCACAGAAATTGCAAGTTGCCATTTGTGGGTTTGTGGGTCCCGCACTTTGAACCCCTGTAAAACCAAAACCGGTAAGAATTAGGCCCTAAAATTTTGCAGGTGTTCATTATACATGATAAGCAATTTTTAACATTTTTTTTGACAAAATCCGAGTTGGTCACCTGGGAGCCATTGACTCACTTGGCATGGAATGACCCCTAATCGTACTTCATAGTCTAATCCTTGTGAAACATACAGTATCTTACTGTGGTGCAGCCTTAAGCATGGTGCTATCCAACCATCATGAAATAATGCCGGATGTATCAGAAGATACTGTTCCTTGGAGGAAACTTGTGAAGCACACGTGTCTGTACCTGTGTCCAGTACCATCGGCCACGACTTCACATCAACAGCTGCCACAGCCTCTTTGGACTTGAGTAGCCTTATTATTGCTTGAGTGGTCAGGACACATACAGACTTACTGGCCTGTGATAGACAGCAGAAGGACAAAGTAAAGCAGCGGTTTTCAGTGATCACCTGAAGATTCACCTTCACACATTAAGAGTGATCAAAGGGGTCATTTTCATGCTCTGTTGGTTTTTTCCCTTTCCTACTGTGTGTTAGTTGTTTTTGTTTGTAAAGCATCAGTGAACTCAAAAATCCCAAAGTCCGTGCCAAAGGGAGTTATTCCTGAAACAGAATACAGTTAACGAACTGCCTGAAACTCCTTGTTTGTTGTCCAGCCTTTCCCTGCATAACATGAATACGTCCTGATGTAACAAATTGGCATCATCGGCTAGTTTGGCAGACCTTAGAACAAAACTAGGTAGAGCGGAGACTGGGAAGAGTTTAGTTACTGTGTATCGACAGGTCGAGACGACGCTGTTTTCTTAAGGGAGAAGACAAATTCCCTTTGTATGGATTTCCAAAGGAAGACTAAGTGAAGAATCAGTGCTTTAAATTAATCTTTACCAATGTTCCTAAGCAGTACAACACCAAACATTTATTTCGTTTCTTTAATTTTTAACAAGCTGTGCTTCCTGAGCCAGAGCTGGCCAACCACAGCTGAGTGCACTTTCAGAGTGGGGGCCTTAAAGAGACAGGAGCCAAAACAGCCCATTTCAGGCTGACTGAGCCAGAGGTGCTGCACACACAGCCTGTATGGCTGTAACTAGGCGCTTTTTGGCCATAAACACATCCACAAGTTTGTAAACAGACCACAAAACTGAGAATATTGAACTGGGAAAAGGGCATAATATGTCCCCTTTAAGACTCTGCCGTCAGTACAGCATGTAAATGCAAGATGACATTCACAATGCAACTGTCTGCCGTCGGGCAAATGGCATCGAGTTTACCTCCACAATCATCTTTACGGTCGGGAGTGTGGTGGCGAGGTTCTGAGGATGAGGGGGTCTGACAGTTACCGGTACACAGCCAGCATACAGACATCCATAGAAGGTGGCAATAAGGTCAATACCTGAAGAGGAACACAAAGCATTCGTGACGGGGAAGAAAAATGGTCTGGCAGAAGGGTATAATCATTACCTCTGCAACAGAGAGTCTGAGGAACAAATTAGCCCACATTATAAACCAATACATAACCCAGCTCCAGAACTGTTCCAGGGTTTTACAAAGAATCCAGAACGGGGTCAGCTCAGTGAAACAATTTTCATTATTTTGGCTCAGTACGCCACCACAATAAATTTTCAAATAAAACAATGAGATGTAAAAGATCAGATGAAGACTTTTACCATCAATAACTATTTTTTATGTTTCGTTTGGCCTAAAGGCAGTACTACATGAATGTCCATAATGTTAGTGTCACCAGAGCAATAAGGTTGCTTTTTTATGCACCAGGACATTCACAGCAAAGTTGTTCTGATTCATATTAAAACAGCTGAACAATTATAAATGTATCTTCAGCGAACAGTTACACTACAGTGAAAATAATATAGCTATCAAAATCAATAAGGTTGCTCCTCAATGCACAAGGGATGCTGATAGCAGATTTGACAGGACTCCCATTAAAACTTTTCAAGTTATTGCATTTTTTAAAATGAAGAGTTTGGCCTGGTGGTGGTGCTACAGGGAAGGTCGCAGGGTCATCAACATCACCTCCATACACCAGGAACAATCATAAATGGTTAGAGATGATTCCATCAAAACTGTCTGAGTTATTTCAATTGGAGATTTTAAATTTGGCTGAGAGGTGATGCTTCACAACACATTACAGAGCCATGAAAATCAATGTTTTCCTCCTCTCTGCACTTTAAATGTTGAAAAAGCAGATCTAAAATGATATGAATTTCCCTATTCAAGTTATTGCAATTATTAAAAATTATAAGTTTTCCCTGGAGGTGACGCTACAGCAAAGGGCACAGGGTGTCCAACATCAATAACAGCCCCTCTCAACGCACTAGAAACAATCACAAGAAGTGCGAAATGATTCCCAATTAAACTGTTTGAGTTACTGCATCTGGAAATGTTAGGTTTCATTCAATTGCCATGTCATTGGATCTGGAAATGTAAGGTTTCATTGACTTGCCATAAAAACTGTTCTAGTTACTGCACTACACAAAGGACCTAAACATGGTGGAGAAAGCCTTCATGTTAAATCAAAAATAGCATAGCATATCAATTATATGATAAGTACTAGGGTACCAGCACCATTAACAGCCATACATGCCCACGCCATAACACTGCTGCAACCACGTTTCAGAGGTGAGATAGTATGCTTCTGATCTTAAATGATTTTTTCCATTCTCCATACTCTCCTCTTTGCATCATTCTGATACAAGTTGATTTCTGTCTGATCAGTCTATAGGATATTATTCTAGAACTGTACAGGTTTTTTGGATATTATTTTGAAAACCCATAGTCTGGTTTTCCTGTTTTTGAAGCTTTCCAATAGTTTACATCTGCTGTTAAACCCTCTGTATTTACTTTGGTGAAGTCTTCCCATAGGTACTGGCTTTGATAGATAGAGTATCCCCCAAGAGGATGTTCCTGACCTAATGAACAGTTGCAAAGGGGCTTTTCTCTGCCAGAGCAAAAATCGTTTTGTCATCCACCACAGGCCTCTTGGTGTTGCTGAGCTCAGTAACACCTTTCATTTTAAGAATATACCAAATTCCCTGCGACAGTCAGCTATTATGGCCATAATGGAAGTGAGTGAGTGAGTGAGTCATGATCCTTTCATACTCAATATCTCAAGAATGGAACAAGCCATAACCTTCTATGTTTGCATGTTGACAGACATGGTGTAGCAGATGAGCTCATTAAAATTTGGTTGAATTTGTGAGATTGTATCATTCTAAATTAATATGCAAAAATGCACCACATTGCACGGTCCTGTACAATCCAGTGGGACTGCACGTTGCTTCTATCAGTTAGCTTGCCAACCAAGCTTGCTAGTGCATTAATAAAATTATTAGCAACTCAGTCAAAGCCTGATAAAGGCTCAATTTCACCAATAGTTATGCTAGTGATGTGTGTTTTGTGTTTCTGGCTCAGTTGAAGTGTGCTGCACTAACGTTACTTGCATGTACCTTCATTTGACGTCTACACAACCAGCAAGCTATTTACACAGCTACATTAAAACCGTGGTGTTCAGCAGCCTGTTTTTCATGTGGCTCTGTAGCTAGCTGGCTGGCTACTGAAGACTTCAAATAATGCTGGCCGCATCGCAGGGTGCCATACAATCCAGAAAGATTGCTTTTATTTTACGTATATGGCCACAAAAAAATGATTTCTACAAATTTTCTGATGGGTGTGTTTTGATTTTTCAGCCTTATTATCTTCCATCAGTCATTGGACTTTTTATTGATAGTTAACAGCAACAAATCCCAAATGCAAGTTTCACACGATGAAATTTCCCATCCTGATTTGGAAATGGCATGGCCAGAATTACCCGCTACAGCCTGGGTTTCAGGATTTTAGGCCTGCTTTCACTTACTTTATTGCCCATTAAGCACAAACGTGTTTCGGTGTTAAGCTTTTTTGGGTTTCAACCTCCACTATTTCCTGCCCAAGAGACAGAAGTCGGGGTACCCTCTGCCCAACTCTTCATCCGACGGTGCAGGCGTGTCTCGCAGAAGGTCCGGTCAGCCCTTCAAAGATCTGCACGATGTTACCTACTCCAAGCCAATCGCCGATGCAGACCCGCAACATCTCTACGTCCTGGGCAGAGGGTCTGGCTGTCTACGCAAGACCTTCCCCTGCAGGCGGAATCCCGCAAACTGGCACCACGATTTATAAGGCCCTTCAAGGTTTCGAGAAGGATTAATCCAGTCTCTTATCGCTTACAGCTTCCCCGATCCATGCAAATCAATCCCACCTTCCACGTCTCCTGTCTACGCCCCATTGCCACCAGCCCTGTGACGCCTGCTTCAAAACCCCCACCATCCCCCAGGATTGTTGATGGCGGACCTGTTTACAGAGTTATTCATCTACTGGATTCTCGTCGTGCACGACAAGGCCTTTTATACTTAGTGGACTGGGAGGGATATGGCCCAGAAGAACGGTCCTGGGTTCCGGCTCGAGACATCCTTCATCCAGATCTCATTGAGGATTTTCACCGGCGACATCCAGATCGGCCCCAAAGGAACGTCAGGAAACGCTCAGGAAGTGCTTAGAGAGGGTGGGTAAGGTCAGGATTTTAGGACTGTTATTCCTTCTGTCGGCCATGTGGGGTCCTCAGTGTTTTTTTTTTTTTGTATCTCTCACTATATGATCACATGCCTTGTTCAAATCTTCCTTATTGTGTTCATTGCTCTCACCTGAGTCTTGTTATTAAGCCTATTTAAGCTGTTTGGCTCCCATTCTCCTTGCTCAGTCTTGAGTTTCTTCTTGAGCGTACACAGTGACAGTATTTGTTTGTAGTACTTGTTCTATTTTGACCGTGGATTTTTATTCTTTTTGCCTGTCAGTTGGAGTTGAAGTCTCCTGGTACCACAGTGGTAGAGTTCCTGCCTTGCATGCAGGAGACATGGGTTCAAATTCTATGCGAAACTAACACTGGGTACACTGAATTTACAAAAACCTCTCCAAGAAGACCCTGCTCAGCTGTAATTTAAAGATAGTGAATTAAAACATTTTTGCGCAGAAACACTGAACTCAAACCCCACCTGGGGGATAGACCAGGGCCACATGATCCCCTGTGTTCAGCCTCCCCTTCTCCATCAGCGCCATGGCAACGCGCTCCGCCCGCTTGTGTAGCTGCAGGCAGGAGGCAGTACCGGCCACAGTGCCCTAAACACAACATATATTCACATGTGAGTGAACTTCCTTCACAAACATGTATCATGAGAAACACAAAAGCCAGTCTTTTTCCAAAGGTTCATTCGGTCAATGCAAAAAAAAAAAAAAAAAAAAAAAATGCTGGCAACACAGGAGCCATAATCATGCCGCTGTGACATGCTGTTGGAGGCACAAAAGGAAAGCAGAAACCACACTTTCCAACGCTTGATTACTTGCATAATTTAATTAGCTAGCCAGCGGAGATGGGCTTCCCCACTATCGCCGGGTTCCCCCGGAGATTTCTTCTCACTGGGGAGTTTTTTCTCACCACTGTTTGAGGATTTTTCTCCCTACAGGGACCTTTTTTTGCCTCATTTGCTGTAGTGGGGATTAGGTTGGGCACTGCCCTTTTTATTTATTTATTTCTTCATTTAATTATTTTATTTATTAATTTATTTTCGCACTATAAAGCGTCTTTGTGACAGTCTCTCTGTGAAAAGCGCAATACACATAAAATTGAATTGAACTGAATCTTGCTTCTGTTCACCTGATTCACAATTTTAGATTCATAATATTAATTTTTTCTGTTTTGAGTCGACCACAATTGCAGCCATCTTTCGTGTGGACAGAAAGACAAACGAACAAACAAACAAAACTCAGCCAAGTAATGAGTTTGATGATCTGAAAAATTTAAGACAGTGACAAATATGCAAGAACAGAAAAAATCGGGAAGGGGCAAATACTTTTTCAACGCACTGTATGTGCACAGGAAGACACCTCATACTTTGTGATGCAATGTATTCTAAAATAGTACAGTCAAAAATAAATTAGCCAGTCATTCTACCAGGTGCTCATCACACTTGCTAATAAGGCAAAGTGAACTGTGACGAGTTTAGCATAAAATAAGCATTGAAAGTTGAGGTTACCGCAGACCTGTCATATCGCTGACAGCATGACTCCGCTGTGTTCACATGATTGCTATGAGCTATAAGAATACTGGCCAGTCATTATGGAACCATGCTGCTATCAGCATTAAAATAAAAATGTATAATCAGAAATGCTTTTTCCTTTTTAAAGACACTGACACTTCATGAGATTTAAGTTATTTTCATTTTATTTTTGATCACAATATGGCCGGTGCACTTTTTGGAAATGAAATTGCAAATTTGAAACACTATTTCATTTTCAATTTGTAGTGAAAATTGCATACAAGATGTGGAAATGAAAAAGAAAAGTGGAGGATTACATTTCAATTTTCATTATGATTCTAATTATGCATTAAAGAAAAAGCATTGGAGATGGCATTTTCATTTTAATACTGATAGCTACATGCTTCCATAATCCACGCTAAGCAAGAACTATAATATGCATTCTCAGTACAAAAATATTACACCTACACCAACCCTTAAAAAGAAAGCCTATCCGAATATAATATAAAACTATGATATGCTACATTGTGCTAAATGGGAGGGAACCCAAGGTTCTGACATCAGATTACAAAACATTGGGCATCGAAACAGGCATCATGACTTAGAGAACTGACGAAGGAGCAGATTCCTTAAGGCTGGCAGGTTTCTTTAAAATTGATTGCCCTCACTTGTGAGGACAATCTCAGCCACTTTGTTTCTTCTCTTAACCTTATATTCGACGTTTCCAAAACTGGCTATTGAAATTTATGGTTAGGAAATAGGAAAGAACTTAAAATTCAATGATGAGACAGTTGAAGCACTTTGTTATCAGATGTGTTGGGGTGGGAAATGGTTGTGCTCAATTAATTAGTGACAATTAACCCCAGGCCAATAAGTCTACCCCCAACTGTATTCCTAACAAGGTGGCTCTCCCTTCACAGTGTTTATATAATTCATTGGTAACTCTAGGCAACACGCTCCCCCTACAGGACATCCAAGGCCACCTGAGCAGCTGGACCACTGGGGATATCATTCTCCATTTAGGATGTCTGGGCCTAGTTTAGCAAAACAACGCTGGTTGTCCTCATGCACCCCACTTATTTACATAATTTTCCAAAGGAAAACTATCAGACCATCAGAACATTGGCCAAAGCCAACTACCAATGGCCTTTAAAAAGCCTTCTCGTCTACTCCTCCATTATCTAAACTGCTTTTTCCTCACCAGGGTCATGGAGGAGCTGGATCCAATCCCAGCTGACTATGGGTGAAAGGTAGGGACCCACCCTGAACAGCTCACCAATCAATTGAGGGTATCGCCAATATGCAAAAAATGCCCGGATGTAGCGCTTTCGGCATAATATCTTGCTACTTTCGGAACCCACTTACTTCCGCTGCGTTACTGAGATCACAGCTATCGTTTAGCGTCAGCTAGCTGCGGCTTGGCCGTGCACGCCCGCATACGTAAATCAAGCCGAGGAAAATGTAAACATTCACCAAGCTCACAGCTAGTTTCAAGTAAGTACCCGATGCGGTCGGCGGAACCACGCACGCCTAGGCAGCGTTCGATTTTTTCCCGCAGCCGTGAAAGAGACTGGAAGCGACTGGGTTACCGAACTATCCCATAATGCATCTGAAACGGGGCACGAATGCAACATCCGGGCATTTTTTGCGTATTGGCGATACCCTCTATTACAGGGCGCACACACCATTCACTCACCATTCACTCGAACACTCACACCTATGGGCAATTTAGGGTCTCCAACTATCCAGAAATGCATATTTTTGGACTGTGGAAGGAAACCAGAGCACCTGGAGGAAACCCATGCAAACACAAGGAGAACATCTAAACTCCACACAGAAAGGACCCAGGCCAGATTGAAAACCACAACCTTCCTACAGTGCTACTCACTGCACCAGCACCACACATCAGATAGTCCCATATGAGAGAAGTTGTTGAAACACTTTGATAAACTTGGAAATCTGACAGTTGTGTTAGAAATGCACTCAGAACTGCACTTTCTCTCAGATTTATTGTCCTCCAAAGTCATGTGCAGAAGGGTCACCTTAGCATTGAGCAGCAGAAACAGGGTGTGATCTGGAGTAGCTTGGGCTCTCCACTGTAGGACGTCTTGCAAGAACAGGAACTGATGGGAGAGCAGCATGAGATGAGTCAATTTTGTACGGTTGCGATAAATTCCTCGGAATGTAATGCCAGAAAAGCAGTTTCATTCATAACTGATTTGAAGACGGATGGGGCGAGTGTGTGCCTTACATACCTGGTCACTGTCCTCCTGCTGGGCCAAGTCTCTCCCACAGGCCTGAGCGATTCTCTTTCCAGCCACCAAATTCCCCACTATCATAGAAGCAGGGCCCACCTCTGTCCAAAATTTGGTGCAATGTATGAAAACGCTATCCATAAGCACACATTCCTCATACGCTGTGTTATTCAGTAACAAGCATTTTCTACGAGAACATGGATGTCCTAAACATAAAAATGTTCCATACACTAAACAAGTAAAAGCATGAACAAAGCAGAGAGCCTTTAGATAAATTTGCTGTAAATACATTAACACTTTGGCATTCAAGCATGTTTTACATAGTGGTACCTTAAGAATTCAAGCATTTTACATAGCGGTACCTTAAGAATTCAAGCATGTTTTACATAGTGGTACCTTAAGAATTCAAGAATGTTTTAGGTAATTTCACGATTTTATGCACCACATTTTTGAAGCCCTGTAGCTCTGAAACCATAAGTCCAATCATCTTACAGTAATTAAAAAGTTTGTAGAGAATTGTCCACAGTATCAGATGGTACCAATTATGTTGGTATGCTACCCACCGTTTTGGGGTAAAAATTATGAAAATGTGTACAAAATGCGCACTTTTTGCCAATATCTAAAAAAGATTTTTTAAAAACCAAAATAACACTGTATTCTGAAATAATTATAACTGCGTTGCCTCTGCCACGCCCACATACTCTGCCAACACCGCCTCTCAGCCTTGGGGTACCACCCCTGGTCCTGACCCTACCTCTACCTTGAATACCCCCTCTGGTTCTAGCTCTCCCCCTTGCTGGGTCCTGAGCAATATCATCATTTTCAGAGGAAGATTGGCCAGAATCATTAGGCCCAGGTTCAAACTCCGAGTCATGTTCAGCAGCATGCCCAAGCATTTGTGTAACGGGTACATAGTCAACATCAGAAACCTCCGACCGATCACCAGAATCATCGTTATTTTCATTGTCACTCGGTTCAGCGCCGAAATCTTCATCCCCTGAGTCCTCATCGGCAAATAATTTGTCAAGTACTTGGTCCACATTCATCCTGAATTCAAAAAAAATCTTGACTTTTCAAGCGAAAATTGCGCAGAATATTTCTATTGAAACACCATATGTATTTGGTACCAAACGATTGCTCTGAGCGCCGTCTATCATTAGAGAAGCAAACGAAGGCTTTGGGTGCCACAGGCATAGAGAAATCGCGGAATTTCAATGCATTAGTATTGTCTCGACCCAGGGTCGAGACCGAATTCTGGAGGTAACATTTCCGGTCTCGACTTCTGAATGGTGCAGTTCCATCTAAGGGTTAAAATGGCAACTAAATTACAATAATATTAATAATTAATTAAATGATAATAATATTAAAATGTACTCATACAGTATACTTTAAAACAAAATCTCGGCGTGCTTCACAGAAAGGCTAAATCAATCATAGCACAATGCAAAAACTGATTAATAACCAAAATCATGTGAGACAAGGGTCAAAATAAGATGTATGCAGTTACAATCTAAAATGAGAGACCCAAGTTTAAAAGAAAGAACAGCATGGGAAAGCAGAGAGGAACAGGTGAGTCTTCAGAATAGATTG